AAAAAAAAAAAAAAAGAATTGGGACTGATGGAATGGAATTTAATGTAGCTTTACTTAGTCTCTTTCTCACACTCTCGTTCTCGCTCTGAACATGCAAATTTAGTCCTTTACAGAGAAATTTGGAAGGGGATTTAAATTTATTATATTTCTATGGTATTAGTATATATATAATAAAGAAAATTAGAAGTTAAAACTCCATTACCAAAATATAACCTCTATTACTGTATTAGCATTTTGATGGATTCTTTGTCTGCTCATGAAAAGATGTATTACTAAAATTTATCTGCCTTTCCTGCTTTTAGGACTGCCTTAAGGAAGTACTAGAGATTGTGGAACTGGGTATCTCAGGAAGTAAGTCCAGGAACAGCGAGCAAGAGGTCAAGTACAAAGGAGATAAGGAGCCAAACCCTGCCTCAATGAGGGTAAAGGATGCTGCTGAAGCAACCCTCACATGGTATGAAAGTGATTGTGTTAGCAGTAACCCCATCAGTTCATTTCTTTACAGATGGTTTGATATTAAGTGACTTAGCCCCTTTAGTTGATACTTTGTCTCCAGAAATTAAATGGAAAGGAAATACTCTTGTACCAGTTTGTTTTTTTTATACCCAGATAAATCAGTAGCTTGGGTTTTTGTACTAGTTGATAATAATTCAAGGCAAATTATGTTCGAGTTAGAAAGGATCTTGGAGAGATTTACTCTGTCCCTTCACTTTGATGCCTGAATCCAGAGATGAAATGTGTCTGTCTGTGGTCTCCCCATCAAATCTGCCTCCTAGTTGGTTTCTTCTACAGGATTTGTATTACATCTTATAAGTCTATTCAGCTAATATTTATAAACTTCCTGTTTAGAACTGGTAATAGGCTGGGGGGGGTGGTTTACTCAGAAGGCTGAGATAAGAAAGATTGCTATTTGAGGCCAGTCCTGGCAAAAAAGTTCTTGAGATGCTATCTCAATGGAAGAAGCTGGACATGGCAGTTCATGGCTGTCATCTCAGCCACAGCAGGAAGTATTAAATGGGAGGATTGAGATCCAGGCATAGACCAGGGCAAAAAGTAAAATGGTTTCAAAATAACTAGTACAAAAAGAGCTGATGGTGTGGTTCAGCAGTGGAGTACCTGCCTAGCAAACACAAGACTGAATTCAAGTATCAGCACTTAACCTTCCCATCTGTCACCCAAAAAAGAACTGGAATAGGATCACACAGATGAGTCAGAACCAGTCACTCCACCAATACTATCTTGCTCAATAGGAAAGATTAAAAATATAAACACAAACTGCTATATGAGTAGGCTGAAATAAGTTCTCCAAGGGAAAAGGAACAAAATGCTAAAGAGTTAGAATGAGGAAATATTTCTAGATAAGAGGAAAATCACAGTGGACATCATCCCTAGAGAAATCAGCTTAGCTGAAGGGAAAAGCAGACCTGCTACCTGAGATTCTTCATGCTCTCCTCATTTTTTGCCTGACTTCCCTGTTTTCAGTCTTCTTACTTTCCTATTCACCTTGTATTCTGTGACCAAACTCATCCTTCTGAAGCACAATTTTTATTCTGCTACTTGAGTGTTATTCTGCCTTATTGTCTGAATTGAAACTGAATTTCAAGAAGCCTGTCAGATCTCTTCCACTTTTCTCTAGTGCCCTCTGCCATAGTCCAGTTAACTTGTGGTAAACTGGACATGCTTGTTCCTGCTTATGTTTTTCCCCTGAATTACAAAGCTTCTTTCCTTTTCCTTTGATCACACCCTCTTACTTTTCAGTACTAACCTCAAATCTAGCTACCTCCATGCCACTCTTGGGTATTCTGCTTCTGAATATGACGCCTTTTGACACAAGTACACTCATTTCTGATCCTACCACACAGCATAGTTGTACTATCATGATCATGTCTGGTTTATTTGATACATGCTTGATTCCTCAAGATGGGAGGAGGTTTCTGAGGAGGGACCCATTTCTGTGATAACCCTCCCAGTGTTGAACACCTAATATATACTTGCAGAGTAAAGATTAGCTGTTTGGGCTGAGTGCTAGTTGCTCATGGTTATAATTCTAGCTACTCAGAAGTCTGAGATCTGAGGATTGTGGTTCAAAGCCAGCCTGGGTAGGGATGTCCATGAGACTCTTATCTCCAATAAACTACTCAGAAAAAGCTGGAAGTGGTGCTGTGGCTCCAGTGGTAGAGGGCTAGCCTTGAGCACAGATAAGCCCAGGAACAAAGCCCAAGACCTGAGTTCCATTTCCAGGACCGGCCGAAAGCCAGCCCGGGCAGTCTGTGAAACTCTTCTCTCCAATAAACCACCAGAAAACCAGAAGTGGTGCTGTAGCTCAAGTGGTAGAACACTAGCCTTGAGCTGAAGAGCTGAGGGACAGCACTCAGGCCCAGAGTTCGAGCCCCACCACCGAACAACAAAAAAAAAAGATTAACTGGGTTTTCATAGTCATCATGGTCGTCCTTGTCGTTGTTTTTAATCTCCTTTGGGGTACTAACTCAAATTCAGAATTAGGACTCTTAGAAGTCATTTAAGTTGCTGGGCTTGGTGGCTCACACCTGTAATCCTAGCTACTCAGGAGACAGATCTGAGGATCATGGTTCAAAGCCAGCCCAGGCAGGAAAGCCAGTGAGACTCTTATCTCCAACAAACTACTCAGAAAACGGAAAGTGGCACTGTGGCTCAAGTAGTAAAGCTCCAGCCTTGAGCTGAAGAGCTGAATGATAGTGCCCAGGCCCAGAGTTCAAGTCCCACGACTGACAAATTTTTTAAAAAGTCATTTAAATTGCCCACTTTGTGGGCTAGGAAGGTCGCTTAGTGGTAGAGTGCTTCCCTCACATGCACGAGGCCCTGGGTTTGATTTCTCAGCACCACATAAACAAAAAGCCAGAAGTGGCGCTGTGCTCAAGTGGTAGAGCGTTAGCCCTGAGCAAAAGCAGCTCAGGGAAGCTCAGGGACAGTGCCCAGGCCCTGAGTTCAAGCCCCAGGACCTGCCAAAAAAAAAAAAAAGCATCTTTGCTTAAACCAGCTTAATTACCGAGTTATTTAGCATCTAATTAGAGATTAGACTTTAAATGTCCATTTCATTTTAATTATTAAAAGCTTGTTTTATATTGAACTAAAGTGTCTCACTTTAACTTTGACCAACTGGTTCTTATTTAGACTTTTGAGAGTAATACCCCTTTAGTCCAGGTAGTAGCAGTATCCAAAGACAGAGTTTATATTCTTTCTGATTTAGCTCTGGTACCTTCAAATATTTTCATATTATAAGGACTGAATGAATACCTTTGTTATCATGGTCCTCAGCTGGTACAGGTTTGATTGTGTATCTCTTATAGTAGATTTCAGAGTACAGTACTTTAGGTACTTTAGATGGCTTTTAAATTTATGTGTGTATATACACACACACACATATATATATATACACATATATATATACACACACACATATATGTGTATATATACATACATACATTCTGCACCTGGCAGGATGATATATATATATATATATCCTATCTACTCAGGAGGCTGAGATCTGAGGATCACAGTTCAAAGCTAGCCCAGGCAGGAAAGTCCGTGAGACTCTCATCTCCAATAAACCACTCAGAAAACTGGAAGTGGCACTGTGGCTCAAATGGTAGAGCGCTTGCCTTGAGCTGAAGAGTTGAGGGACAGCATCTAAGCCCAGAGTTCAAGCCCCACGACCGACGCAAAAAAAATTTTTTTTAAGGTCTTCGGTATGTGTCCTATCATTTGTCATTCTCATCCTGTCATTTCTTGGGAGTGTTTAAATATATGCACAGAACTGTACATTTCTTTTTGTCAGTCATGGGGCTCAAAGCTAAGGCCTGGGTGCTCAAGGCTAGCATTCTACCATTTTGAGTTTTCTGGTGGTTAATTGAAGATGAGTCTTAGGGACTTTCCTCCCCGGGCTGGCTTTAAACTGTGATCCTCAGATCTCATCCTCTTGAATAACTAGGATTACAGGTGTGAGATACTAGTATCCAGATGTACTTTTTTTTTTTAATTGTTTTTGTCAGTCATGGGGCTTGGACTCAGGGCTGTCCCTGAGCTTTTTCACTCAAGGCTAGCATTGTATCACTTTGGTCTGTGGTTTTTTTTTTTTGTTGTTGTTGTTGATCATGGGGCTTGAACTCTGGGCCTGGGCACTGTCCCTCAGCTCTTCAGCTCAAGGCTAGCGCTCTACCACTTGAGCCACAGCACCACTTCTGGCTTTTTCTGCTTATGTGGTGCTGAGGAATCGAACCCAGGGCCTCATGCATGCAAGGCAAGCACTCTACTGCTGAGCCACCTTCCCAGCCCTGCATTGTATCACTTTGAACCACTGCTCCACTTCCAGTTTTCTAGTGGTTAATTGGAGATAAGAGTCTCATAGAGTTTCCTGTCTGGGCTGGCTTTGAACCGTGATCCTCACATCTCAGCCTCCTGAGTAGCTAGGATTATAGGCATGAGCCACCACCAGTGCCTGGGTTGAACATATCATTATTTAAGATTTGTCTCATTATTTTTAGTCTTAAAATCCTAGCTTTCTCTGATATATTCCTCTCTGATGCCCAACTTCTGATCAACTGGATTTAATGAGCCTGTCCTGTGTATTCTAATTCTAAGATTGACTAAAATATCAAACACAGGTAGACTCACAGCCTGTCTAATTAAAGATGTTGATTAAAATATCAAGTACAAGTGGTCTCACAGCCTATCAGCAGAAAATTTCCTTCGGTTTCACAGGGATTTTTTAATCTGATCTACAAGTTTGTTGTGACACACTGTCAAAAAGATATCTTGATTTCAGGGATACTTACCTGCTTTTCCAAGCTAGTGACAAGAGAAAATGTGGATAGGCTGGTATGATTTCATCTTAGTGACGTATTCCCTTTTTAGCAATCTGTTTGATAACATGTCTTAAATGCAACCATCTCTGTCCTATTTTAAAAAATCAAAGTCATATTATTTAATTACTTACTGGTTATTTCTCCTCTTTGCTTTCTACAAATCATTAGGGACCTGAACTCATCATCAAGTTATGTTGATTCTAGAAATTCTTTGATACAGGCCTTTAGGAGGGGTGAAAATGGAAAGAAAATATTTGTTGAACTGTTTTGACTTCCATATTAGGGATGTTTGGGTTCAAGCCTTAGAATGAGAGAGGAAGACATCCACCCAAACTGAAGGTTGAGTCATGAAAGTAGAGTCACAGAATATTAGTGTTCTAGATGAAAGGTCAGGCGATATTAAAACCTTAAAGTAAAATTTTTCTCTTGTAATTACAAAATATTTTCTCTCTGAGCTTCAATTTCTTATTATAAGTGAGTATAATAATGATAGCTGTTTTAGAGAGCTGTTAAGAAAGTACAAGAAATGACGTGCATTAAGTGCCTTCATGAATGTATGCACAAATCGGTCTATATAACAATTCCTGAATGTTAAGGCTTTTGCAGTTGAATTCCAGTTTGTAAAACATTTTCTGTTACAGATTTTTATTTAATGATTATAATAGGTCTGTGAGATTTAAGTATTAGATGCTTCAGGTTCTTTATTTGCAAGAAGGCAGCAGGGGCAGGTTTCTGGTCTTTAATGTGCGTGCGTGCGTGCGTGCGTGCGTGCGTGCGCGCGCGCATGTGTGTGTGTGTGTGTGTGTGTGTTGTACTTTTCATTTGAGCCACTCCCTACCCCAGTCCTTGGGCATTTCATTTGAATTTCAGATAGGCTCTTGTGTTAACTTTGCCTAAGTTGTCTCACACCGTGATCATTGTTTCTCTGCCTCTAGAGTAGGTGTACTTCACCTTAGCCAGCTGTTTTCTAGCCTGTTAGCAATCACTTTGTTCTTCTTAGCTTTAGTTTTGTCTTCTGAAAAGTGAGGGGGTGTGGCTGATTAGGATCCTTTTCTAGGCCTAGAATACTTTAACTAGCATGATCTTGAAGCTGGGACACTGCACATTTTTTGGGGGGGTGGGGGGCCCAGTCATAGGGCTTCAACTCTGGGCCTGGGCGCTGTCCCTCAGCTCTTCAGCTCAAGGCTAGTGCTCTACCACTTGAGCCACAGTGCCCCTTCTGGTTTTCTGGTGGTTTATTGGAGATAAGAGTCTCATGGACTTTCCTGCCCAAGCTGGCTTTTTACATGATCCTACTCAGCCTCCTGAGTATCTAGGATTATAGATGTGAGCCACCAGTGCCTGGCTACAAAGCAGATTTTTTTTTAATGGGCTTATATCACTTATAATGGGTGTTCTTTATTATAGCTTCACACATGTCCCATCATTTAAATGTATCTTTAGAAACGTCATGATTTGGAAGTATAGGTAGCAAACTGAAGTTTGCTTGCAAGTTTATTAGAAAGTGCTCTTATATCCTAGTAGAGGAAGGGAGAAAGCAGAGCTGGACAAAGAGAAAAACTGAACTGTGATACAGTTGCTTATTTCATGTTCTCTCAGTCTGGGGCCAGGGACTTTACAACCTACATAAGTCAGTCATTGGGTGAGAGCTTTGTATCTAAGTGTGGTGTTTCTCCTTGGCTGAGGGAAGTCTTTGAGAGAGTATGTTGACATCTGCAGCCACCATCTCTGTGCTTCTGGAGGGCTAGGTCACACAACATGCTGTGGCCTTTAGAAGAAATAAATATGACCTGCAAAGGGGAAACATGGCTATGCTCAAGAAAAATGAAGGGAAACATGGGTATATGAATACATGAGGTAAACTTAAGATTTTATTTTGGGAATTAACTGTTTTTTATTCTATTCTCCATAGTATTATGCAGTTGCTTGGTGCATTTCCTTCACCCAGTGGTCCTGCTTCTCCTTGTAGTCTGGTGAATGAAACTACTCTGATCAAATACTCCAGGCTGCCAACCATAAACAAGCATAGTTTCCGGTACTTTGTATTGGACAATAGTGTCATCCTAGCAATGCTGGAGCAGCCTCTTGGAAATGAGCAGAGTAAGTTGGACCACTTTGTGCCTTCTTTACTGCTATATCAGTATGTGTTCATCAGTGTTGGCAAAGAAAGAGAGGCTGATTTTTATGTGATTACACATTTGTCAGTGGCTCTTTGAGCTGTGAGATAATAGTACCTGAGAAACAGAAGACCAGAAGATAGAATATACATATGAAGTAGAATCACTTAAAGGCCCTTTATGTATATCTGAAATATTAGAAAAGTACTGTGTAGTTTTATAAGCAGTTTAACATAGTGGTTGTTAGTGTGTATGAAAACCATTGTCCCTCTTTCTCCCCTTGTGAACTTTGGATGCTGTCCCTGGCTCCCTTGCCTCTCACTCCTCATTGTTCTATTTCAGTATTGCCACCCACAACACCTAGAAATGTGAGAGTCATCTTTGTTTGCACTTCCTGTTACTTCCTTTTATAAGTTTCCAAGTTTCTACCTCCCCAGTGACTCTTGAATCTTTCCTGTGTGTTCCTTTCAGTACCTCCACCTCAGGGCCTTAGTACTTCTTACCTACATTATTGCAGTTCTTTCTGCCTCATCTGACACACTTCCTCTCCCCTGCCTCATCAGTTCAAAACTTGTTCACCCTTACTTCTGCTCTACTTGCTGCACTGTAGTGTCCCTTCTTAGATATAGACCTGACCTACTAGAAACCCTTCACAAATTTACTATTGGCAGAATGTTTTCCTCACACTCCTTCCCCCATTTTTAAACCCTCTTGAGGTATAGTTACCACTATAAACCAAATGATGCCAAGAAAGTTTTTTCCTGATAGCAGTTGACATTAGATAGTATGCCAAGATAGCATGATTTCAGAGAGGCTTATTGCAGGCAAGGTAAAGGAAAATGAAGGGTACAGAATCTATGAGTATAAAAGGACCCAGGGAATCATCTGGTTTAGTTTCCTCATTTACAGGTAGAGAAACTCAGAGGGTAGGTGACCTGATCAGGTAGCTTGATACGTACTTGATGTGGATAGGACTTAAGATTTGTTGTCTCACCATGATAGAATTTTCTCAGTGGGGGAGATACTATCTTACCTTTGCAAAGATAGAGTCTAGAATGCTGAAAAAGTTTTGCTGAATGTGAGTGCAATCTTATAATCCATAAAATGAAAGTAAAACATTGCTTGCCCTGTAGTTTGAGATACAGACTGCTATCATGTGAGATTAAGTGTCTTTAATATGAAATGAAATGGGGCCACTTATCGTTGCTCACCTCCAGGATTGTTGGTCCCAAGCCTTTTCTCCAAGTTCTCTTCTTCTTTGCCTCAGACTTAGGGCTTGTCTGGTGTTCTCTCCCCTGTGCCCATTTTTTGTGCTTCAGCTAGCCTCTTAAGATGAAATCATTTGCCAAAGAGTATACAAAATCCCAGTTCAATGTTCCCTTCTGCTTCCTGGCACATTTCTAGGTGTTTTAGTATTACTCCACTCTTATTCCACTTGATTGCATAATAAGTCCAACAAAAATACAAAAACTTGAATTTGAAACATTAAGAAGGACATTTTATTTGTTATAATAATTATTAACAGAAGAAATGATAGGAAAGCACAACAAATTTGACTCTCACACTTGAGACAAAAGAATAAAAAGGATCTGGATCTCCATGGAAGCTTGTCCTGAATTCTTACACAAACACCAGAACTTCTGTTGGAAGGAAATGGTGCCTTCTTAAAGCCATGGCAAGTGTAACATCAGCACTTGGAGACAAGCCAGTCCATCTTCTTACATTTCATTTGTTCCCACCATTGTAAGGTTAAGAATGTTTTCCAGAATAGCATTTCCCAAAAGTAAATGTGAAGCACTGCAGGTATGTGAGATGATGATAGTTGGCAAGCAACAGTATTTTACTTATTTTTTAAAATGCCTAATTTGCATACCTAATTTCATGGCTTCCCATTGATGGTAGTTCACAATGTCCTTTCGAAATGAATTTAATTATAATAAAGAGTGGTTGGTTCAAAGTAAGATAATAGAACTTATAGTACTTGATAAGGCAGAAACCACAAAGAGGGCATAGAAGATCAAAGCTTGGGAAACACAATGGAGTGTTGACAGCAGTTATATTTTAAATGGTTATTGTCTGAAATAAAAACCTTTACACAAACGTTTTGTTCCAGATGATTTTTTCCCTTCTGTCACTGTGCTGGTTCGGGGAATGTCTGGAAGACTTGCTTGGGCACAACAGCTTTGCCTTTTACCCAGAGGAGCAAAAGCAAATCAGAAGGTATCCTCCAGAAGTTACAGGGAAGTGACAAGTGTGTGTACAAGGGCACATGCATACATACCATAAAGGTTAAATCACTTTCCACCTAAGACCACAGATAATATTTCTTATCCCTAGCCAGATACTCCATCATGAGGGTCCATAAGAATCACCTTAGGAACCAGATGTCCACGTCTACTGAAGTAATTCTATAGTCATCTTTAAAGCAGGACTCTTTTCCAAAAGCTTTCAGGTGACTGACTATTCACCCATCGTCTCACATTTTTCTATCTAATTTTAAATATAATTAAAGTCAGATATATGCTGATTGTGATGGCACATACCTGTAATCCTAGCATACCTTGAGACAAGAGTTTTAGGCCAGGTCTGGGAGGTGGCTCAGTTGCATGCGTTTGATTCCTCAGCACCACATAAGCAGAAAAGGCCGGAAGTGGTGCTGTGGCTCAAGTGGTAGAATGCTAGCCTTTAGCTGAAGAGCTGAGGGTCAGTGCCCAGGCCCACATTCAGGCCCCATGACCAAAAACAACAACAAAAAAGAGTTGAAGGCCTGAGCTTGGAATGTGGCTTGAATCACATGCATGAAGCCCTGGGTTCGATTTCTCAGTACCACATACACAGAAAAAGCTAGAAGTGGCTCTGTGGCTCAAGTGGTAGAGTGCTAGCCTTGAGCAAAAGAAGCTCAGGAATTGTAGGCCAGCTTCTCTGTGAGCTACAGAGTAAATTTCAAGGCAATAAAGTGAGATCCTGTAAAAAAAAAAACAAAACACCAAAATGAACACTATCAATAATAGACATCCAACATGTATGGAAACATTTAGCCAGACCTTTCGTGTGTTTAGTGAATAGGATATAGTTTCACATTGTTCTACATGCTGTATAAGTTGCTATATAGTTTTTAATATGCTATATAATTTTAGTCTTTTATCTTGTGACAGTCTTAATTATGTGAAGATTACTTGCTTCTTGTAGAAAATTGGAAGATTGAGACATTAAATCTTTTTTGTTGTTGTTGTTGGTCGTGGGTCTTGAACTCTGGGCCTGGGTGCTGTCCCTGAGCTCTCCAGCTCGAGGTGAGTGCTCTTCCACTTGAGCTACAGCACCACTTCCAGTATTCTGGTGGGTAACTGGAGATAAGAGTCTCATTGACTTTACTGCCCCGGCTGCCTTTGAACCTTGATCCTCAGATCTCAGCCTCCTGAATAGCTAGGATTACAGGCATGAATAGTGTCACCCCCTTCCTCATTTTCTCCCAGTTTTTCCCCTCTTGACTGGACCCTTTTTAAAAATTACTTTTTAAGTTTATTCTGCCAGTACTGGGACGTTAACTTATGACCTTAAGCTCTTTTTTTTTCTTTTTTTTTTTTTTGGCTGATCTGGGCCTAAGAACTGTCCCTCCACTCTTCAGCTCAAGGCTAGTGCTCTACCACTTGAGCCACAGCGCCACTTCTGGCTTTTTCTACTTATGTGGTGCTGAGGAATGAACCCAGGGGCTCGTGTATGCAACACAAGCACTTTGCTACTGAGCTACCTTCCCAACCCCAACCTTAAGCTCTTGCATGGCTTTTTCTCTCATGACTGAGAGCTCCAGTACTTGAGCCACACCTCAGGTTCTGGCCTTTTGTTGGTTAATTGAGGGTAAGAGTCTTGTAGTTTTGTCTGCTTGGGCTAGCTCTGAACCTTAATCCTCAGATTTCAGCTTCTTGAGTAGCTAGTATCATAGGTATAACCCACCAGTGCCCAGCACCATATACATATTGAATCAGGGCTTTGGAGCCACGAAGACCCAGATTTGACACCCATTCTCGCTTAATCTAAGAAAAAAAAATTTTTTGGGGGGTCCAGTCGTGGGGCCTGAACTCTGATCCTGGCCACTGTCCCCCAGCTCTTCAGCTCAAGGCTAGCACTCTACCACTTTGAGCCATAGCGCCACTTCTGGCTTTTTGCTTTTTGCTTATGTGGTGCTGAGGAATTGAACCCAGGGCCTCATGCATGCAAGGCAAGCGCTCTACTACTGAGCCACCTTCCCAGCCCCAGTCCCTGAGCTTTTGTACTCATGGCTCTGCTACTTGAGTCACAGCTTCATTTCCAGCTTTTTGATGGCTAATGGTAGATAAGAGTCTCATCGAGTTTCCTGCCTGTTCTGGCTTCAAACCATAATCCTTAGATTTCACTCTCCTGAATAGCTAGGATTACAGGCATTAACTTACATGCTTATATATATATGGCTATGAATTATCTTCTTTTTTGGGGGGGGGGTCAGGTTGTGGGGCCTGAACTCTGGGCTTGGGCGCTGTCCCTCAGCTCTTCAGCTGAAGGCTAGCGCTCTACCACTTGAGCCACAGCGCCACTTCTGGCTTTTTTTCTTTTTGCTTATGTGGTGCGGAGGAATGGAACCCAGGGCCTCATGCATGCAAGGCACGTGCTCTACCACTGAGCCACCTTCCCAGCCCCTGAATTATCTTCTTAAGTTTTGTTTTTGTGTACTGATGTAAAGGCTTGTACTCTCACTTCACTATTCTGCACAAGACTGGAATTCTACCACTTGAGCCGCATTTCAGCTCTTTGTTGGTTAATTGGAGATGAGAGTCTTTGATTAGTCTACCTGGGCTAGCTTCAAAACCGGATCCTTAATACTTAGCCTTCCTAATAGTTAGGATTATAGGCGTAAGCCTCTGATTCTTGGCCAAAAAAAAAAAAAGTATACATTAGTTATACCAGGGCAGACTCACTTTGGACACTTCCATACAAGCATACAATATACCCTGTATACTCCCAGTATTCTCCCTCATGTCCTCCTTACCTTCCCTCCCCATATTTTTTTTTTAGTATACATTAGTTACCCAGGGAAATTTCATTGTGACATTTTTAATCCTGTATACGATATATTCTTACTTTATCACTCAAGACTTTTCTCCCTTTTTAGGATAATTTCAACAGGTTTCATTGTTCTGTCTTCATGATGTATACAGGGTACATGTATACATGTATGCATGATGTGTACAAGGTACATCAATCATATTTATCCTCATTTATCTTCAGTTTCTTCTGTATCTACCCTGCACGGTCTCTTACTATCATTCTTTTTTTGTTTATATTAATTATGCCAAGGGGATTCACCATGGTATTTCACACATGCAAATATTAAACTGAATTCAGAATAACCCCCTCCATCGTTCTCTCTTCCCTCATCCTTCAGCTTTCAGTGGGATTCCTTATGAAATCTTTTTAATAATTTTTTTTGTCATATGGGGGTCGAACAAAGGGGCCAACCTTTCATAAGTCAGGTTATGGGTACATTTCTTTTTCCTTACAGAACCTTAATATATACAGTGTACTTAGATATAATTCACCCTTCATTATTCTCCTACCTATCCCCCATCCCTCTTTTCCCCAAACAGTTGTATAGTTGCAGCCGTGTATTCTCTGTGTGTATTTTTGAGACCTAGTTTCACTGTATAGCCCAGCCTTTAATGAGTCCTCAAACTCAGTGTGTAGTCCAGCCTTGCCTTGAACTCTCTGTAAAGCGCAATCTGGCCTCAAACTCACTGTGTGCCTAAGACTGGCCTTGAACTCATAGTCTTCCTGCCTCAGCCTACAAAATGCTGAGCTTTTTTAGCTTCTACAGAGTAAGTTCTAATTGAACTCATTTTCTAGAGATGCCTAGGGTACTTGAACTTGTACTTTTTTTTGTATGGAATGAGTTGAGAGAGCTTGGGAAAAAGCCACTTTGAGCTTTGTGGCACTGAGGATCAAACTCAGGACCTTTCACATGCTGGACAAGAAAGTTGAATATTAAAGCTCTGAAATGTCTCATCTGTTGGCATAGCACTGAATGTGTGCAGTTTAGACCTGGAGCAGTAGAGGTCCACAAACCATTTAGCAGTCACAAAATTTGTAAGTTGATGAACATTTTTAGGAAAATAAAATGGAGTGTACAGCCATACAAATTTCCTACCTTTACTACTAGCTATTACATTAGCATTTGCAGGTTCTTACTGAGTTCTGTTACTTGTAAGTCTAGGGAAACACAGCATCAAAGCAGACCAGTCTAGGGGCTGGGAAGTTGGCTACTGCAGTGGTAGAGTGCTTGCCTTTCATGCATGAGGCCCTGGGTTTGATTCCTTAGCACCACTTAAGCAGAAAAAAGCCGGAAGTGGCACTGTGGCTCAAGTGGTAGAGCACTAGCCTTGAGCTGAAGAGCTGAGGGACAGCG